TCGGACTCCACCCCAGTGAGCCCGACGGTGGAGTGGGTTGGTAGAACGGGGCACTCTGGCGGGGCAACGTCGGGGAACAAGGATTTGATGTCGCGTGCAGCCTTGTCTGGCTCGCTGCTTTCCCCTGCGCCGCTGTCGCGCCCCCTGCCGCTGGGGGTGAGCTCGCCCCGCGTGGCCGATTGTCTTGAATAAGTGTCCTTGGCCGCTGCGTTGACGCCAGTTGGGGAGAGGTAGACACTGATGCCGTAGCTTTCCGCTTGCTCTTCTGCTGCTGCTGCGCGCTTGGCTGGTGCGGCGGGGCATGCACTGGAGGAGTGTTGGTCCAGGGTGCGGTCGAGCGTGCCGGGCGCCGCGTTCCAGATGTGGACGAGGCGCCGTCTGCAGGCCCATCCTGCGTTCCACTGCTGCTGGGCCCAGAGCGTGGGCATGGTATCCCATGGCGGTAGCCCTGTCTCGGCGTTGCACGGAGTTCCTGGCTCCGGGCTCCGCGTGAAGCAGCCGAGGGCGGGACTGGTTGCCGACCGCGCGAGCAGTGGCGACCCCACGGGGCAGGTGTCGCACATGGCGGAGTAGGTGTTCGTGCGGTGCGAGTCGGGCCCGAATCTGCCGTCGGACAGCTTGTGAGCTGGGAGGGCGGTGCCGACCGCCTGCGGCCTGTAAACGGGCGGGGCGCGCATGACCAGGTCACGTAGGCTGAAGGGAGGCTGCGCTGTATCTGACCGCCCGCGCCCAATTTGGAACAGATCCAGGGGGGGGGGGGGGGGCGCGGGCTCTCCTCTTGTAGCGAGCCTCGTCCAAAGTGCGCTTGTGCGCCTGTGGGCGCTGCTGGAGTGACTTCTCGTTGCCGCGGTCGCGCGCGGCTAGGGGGGCCTCGATGCCCCTTTTCTCCAGCGACTTGATCCAGCACTGCTCGCAGAGCCACCTGCACTTTTTGCCCTGCATGTACGCTTGGGATCGGTTTTGTGCTATAAGTTCCCTTGTGCCGTCATCTTCCTAAGTGCCGGCCGTGTCTATGAGTCCCGTGTTCGGGCAGCCGTCTCCGTCGCAGTCGAAGCTGCTGACGCGTTGCTTGGCGTGGAACCTGTCGCCACTTACCTTTGGTGGGGTGAGTGTTGCACTGGGGGCCGGGGATGCAGGGGGTCCTTCGTCGGGGCGCTTGTTGGACATGGCGATTCCTCCGCCGATGTATCCCAGGTCTGCCGCTGAGTCTGGGCAGCCGAGCCCGTCCTCGGACCCGCTGAGCTCCTTGCGCAGTGTGCAGATGGAACAATTTTCCTTGCTCAGGGAATTGATCGCGGCAGGTTTGACGATCTCCTCCAGGGCCCTCGCGGGGGCCCCCAGCGTGAACTTGTAGTTCAGCATCCCTGCCCAAGTGGCTGGGCACCCGTGGTTGGTCCACACCTGGTGGTGGTGGGCATAGGTGGCGAGCGTGCTGATATGCTTGATAGCGTACTCCATGTTCCCGTGGAGGGAGGAGAGCTCACTCAGGTCGAAGCCCCAGGCCCCTGCAAACTTCGTTCTGCATTCATTATGGACACCCTGCCAGGGGTAGCAGATGCCCATGGCTGCTTCGAAGATGTCCCCGGTGGCCTCCGGGCGTGGGAACGGCCTTAGTTAGCGTCGCTCGGGGCTCGCGCAGTTGGGGCATCATGACCACTAGGAGGACCCTCGGCGCGGGGGCGTCCATGGAGGGCCCGTTGCTGCTGAGGAGGGGGCGCCGTAGCTCCGAGTTGGCTTGTCCGGGGCGGAGCAGGGACTTCAGGTGCTGCGTGCCTGGGCGAGCGCGGTGCCGCCTGCGTTCCCCTGTCTCTCGGCTCCGTGCCTCTGGAAGCTGCTGTAGCGCGCCAAGGGGAGTGCAGCGGCTCGTGCCCTTCGGGCGGTGGCTGACGCCCTTCGCGACGGGTAAGGGAGGGGGCGACGCCTCGGGGGCCGCCGGGCGTGGGTTGGCCCAGGGGGTGCCCAGCCCTAGGAGCCAGACCAGGGAGGCCCACGTTAGGTTGTAGACCAGGTTGCTTGCGTCAATGCCCAGCTCGACGTCGCAGCAGAATCCCAGATGGCCCCATGCCTTGCGGTCGAGCTGGCCGGGCTGCCTTGGTGCGTCGGCGATGGAGTGCCGGCGGGGGCGAAGCGCAGAAACGGTGTGTAGTACAAGTCCCATGGCGGGGTCCTCGACGAGCCTCTGCAGACTGTTTCGGATGGCGTCGCCGAAGCTGTTCCATGAGAGCTCCGGGTCGAGTGGCGCTGCTATCCTGTCTGCAAAGTTCTTTTCCATGGAGGCACGAGCTTCCCCGATCGCAATGTCGAGCCCCTGGGTGACCGCGTCTCCTGTGTGCGAGGGCGATTCGGGGATCCATGTGGTGACGTCTCGGATGGGGTCGAATCTTTCGTCGACCGTGAGTGACCACCTGTTGCCTATGTCTCCCGCTTGCGAGAAGCGTGCCCAAAATTTGGCGACTCTCCCGTACTCGGACAGCTCCCGGAGGCGCGATCCTGTGGCGGCGCCGAACATCCTCCCGTCACCGATGATGACCGCGCTGCGGGTGGCGCGGGTGATTGCGACGTTCGCTCTGTTGGAGTGAAGCCCCAGTCGTGCCAGCAGTTAGACCTGGTTGTCCGGAAGATGACCAGGTCGGCTTCGCCGCCCTGGCTGGAGTAAATGGTTGAGATGGTGAGCTTGCCGCTCGCAAGCTGTTCTTCAGCGATGCGTCGCAGACCGGGGAAGCTTAGGGGGGCGCCAGTGAGCTCTGAGCTGCGCTGCGCGAAGACGCTGGCGTGGTCGCTGGTGTCGGTGGAGCGGTCTGGGGGGGGGGGGTTGTGGGGTCCTTGCCCGTGGCTGTTCCGTCTTTCCCTTTCCCTTTGCCCTTGGTCTTGGATTGCCTGAAGGCGCCACTGATGCGCTTTGGGGCCATCGGTTCTCCAGGATGGCGCATTGCAGCTGGTAGCCGACGACTACCCGCACTGTGGTTCCATGTTGCATGGCAGGCAGGAGGGCCCGTGCTATGTCCACCGTCTGCGCTGCCTCTGGTAGGTTGGCGCATCCTGCGTGTAGCCTCGATGTGACCTCCAAAGAGGCGTTGTCCACCAGTAGGAAGCGGTGCCGCTCCTCTTTGTGCTGACTCCCTGGATCCAGGCCGCGCAACATATGTTCCATGTCATCTTTGGTGGTGCTCGCTGCCTTTGCTAGGTATACGACTCTGGTGTCGCTCCAGGGAAGGAAGTCCCGCCATGGGAGCCCCTCGATCAGGGGTCTCTGCGACAGAGGGTCGGTTAGGCCGGTGTGCATTGTGTTATTGTAAAAGACACAAGTCGGCCAGGCCAACAGCAGGGGGCGCACACGGTAGCAGAGGCTGAGCTGAACCACGGCGGACTGGTCCTCCCCCAGGGCATGGTGGAGACGGTCGAAGATGGAGAGGCATAGCCCTTGGTCCGATGCATTCCTGGAGATGACTGTGGGGGGGAGCTGCTTGGGGTCGCCCAGCAACACTAGGTGTCCACCGGAGCGGATGGCGCTGTCCAGGGACATGGCAGCCATTAGCTCGTGCGCTTGCCCCGCCTCGTCTATGATGAGTAGGGCGACCGGGGCGGCCTTCTGTAGTGCTTCCGCAGATTCGTGTGTGGCGATGATTGTCTTGGCATCCTTGAGTAGCTGGGTCCTGCATGCGGGGAAGTCTTTGGAGGGTCCGATTTCGTATGGGAACCTGCCGCGGGTTGTGTGGTAGTGTCCTCCGGGGGTGAGCACTGCCAGCTCCTTGGCTACTTTGAAACCTTTGGCCAGGCGCACGCACCTGGCCGGGAACCCTGAGAGGGGGCCCAACTTGTTGGCATGGTGTGCGCTGATTAAGGCAAGCGCTGGCTGGTCGGCGGCCGTGTTGGAGCCTGGCGCCAGAGCGACTGACAGCCTTGCAGCGAGCGCGTTGGACCAGGTGTCCATGGTGGCAACCGAGAAAATTGTCTTGCCAGTGCCGTGGGGTCCGTGCACGATTGTTACGTGGTGTAGGGTGGAGGCAGTGAAGGCCCTTGTGGCATCGCGGTTGAGGCAGTGTCGATTGGCGCCTTCCTCGAGGGCCGTCTGCGGTGGTAGGTACCTGCCACGCTGGAAGACCTGTCCAAAGGCTTCGTCCACCTCTGCGTCAGAGAAGGGGGCGGCGGTCGGGGGCTCTGTGGGGGGGTTGGGTAGCGCTGAAACGGCGACGATCGCGGGCCGGTCGGTGCTGGGGATGCGTGCCTCAAGGGTGGCCGTGGCGCGAGCGAGTAGGGTTTGCTCACACTGGGCTGTGTTGCGTGCGCTGTTGGCCAGTGCCTTGTCCTTCTTATCGGCCGTGCGAAAAGTGAGGAGGTAGGTGATGACGTCCAGGGGGGTCCCGCTTAGGTCGCGCGGGGCCTGCTGCAGCCTGCAGATCTCAGTGATTGCGGTGGAGATCCGACGAAACTGGAGCATGGAGGGGGCCCTGTCCATTCTGTACCACGATTGGCCCACGTAGGTGTGCCTAGCGATCCTGTCATCCGCGTGGAACTCCCCACATTTTCCAGCGTCGTACACTACAATGCATTCGTTGTTGGGGAACCTCGAGCCCAGTCTGAGCCCAGGCGCCTAGCAGTCATTCGAGGGGATCGTGCCTCCGAGGTCTGGTGGCCAAAGTAGCCTGACTGAGGCGACCTGGTCCACTGCAGGGCTGGAGCGTCAAGAATTGGGGATAAGAACCTTCCTGGGAGCCCAAAGAGAGCCTCGACGGTCTCCAGAATTATCCCAAGACAGCCCAAAGAAGCTTCCAGCAGGCTCCCATATCAGAGGGCCGCGAAGGCATTGCCCGCTGACTCCTGGAAATGCTCAGGCCGATCCTGAGCTTCGGTGTGGCGCCTACCCTGCTCTTTGTTCTGCTGCGTTCTCCTATACTTGCCTGATCAAAACAACTCGCACGGACATCATTTCGATTGGGGCAACGTCAGGATTTCAAGATCCGAATATTTCCATCCCGCCGGCAGGCGTGATCCGCGGGAACCTATTGTTCCTCTGAGGTCCATATCCACTCGAGGAAAACGATGCGTTGTTCCTCTGGATCGACATATCGATCATGGAGGAATCGTTCACGTCGAACGAGATGAGCGTCAATGAAGCTGGGCAAAAGGAGTGTTTTTGCCGAGTGCTGGTCGTCCACGGCATACGATGCGACTGCATTGACAAACGCTATGTACCAACATGCCACGTAACAAAGAACACAAAGGACACACAATATAAAAGGGTCCAGAAAAAATAAGGCGACCACTACTATGTCCATGCTCTACTTGGTACCCGCGCCATTCCTGACCCCCCGTTCACATTCCGTGGCAGTGTCTTTCAATTTCGCATCCTCCTCCTGATCGTCGTTCCCCTCCTCCCCCTCCTCTTTATTATGTGTTGTCACCTTCCGTTTTCCTGTTCCCCTCTTTCCTTTTCCGGATGTTCTCCAACCTCCCTGTCTACTCCTGCTTCACTTCTGATCCTTCCTCCTCGTCCTCTTCCTGCCTCATCCTTCTTCTGATTCTGCTCGTCATGCTCCCTCTCCTCCGCCCCCTTATCCTCCCTCTTCCTGCTTCGGACCTGCTGCTGACCAGCGGTTTCCTTCTCCTCTCGCTCCCCTTCCGACATCAAACTATTCTGGTTCTCGCAAACCTCGCAGACTCAATGTCTACCATGTCAGATTACTGCGCTCTCTGCTCGCCTGGTCCGCCGCTCAACGGAGGTCTGGTTGGAGGAGGAGGACGAGGAATCACATGAGGAAGAAGAGACCGAGGAGAGCGGAGGTGGCGGGAGAGATGTCATACGCAGATGCGGCGGAGGAGTTGAAACGGTGTGGCCTGGGGGAACCTTAACTCCGTTTCTGGGATCAGCTCCCAGACATCACCACCCTGGGAAGCACGGTGGTCGAAAGCGCCCATCGTGTGTGATGTTCAAGGTCAGGCCAATGAATTGGCAAAGCGAGGGTGAACGTAGGCGGGAGGGCCCCAGCGACACAACTGGATTGGTCCAGATATTACGTATTGCCTGTAGTGGGCCAGTGGGGCTTGGACCTATTGCCCAAATGGGCAACTCAGCATGGCCACGTGATGATATTCAAACAGCAACTACCAAACGACAATGGGAACGACTGATAACATCAGCAAAGCTGCTCCAGAGATGCGAAAGAAACTTGTGTGGCCTTCGTGCCCACAATTGAATTGAGCGCCGTAGCGTTGGATCGGATCAATCCGAAGATCCATCCACCTCGTATCAGAGTTGGAACATTGTTCTCACTACACGCTCACCAATCCCAGCCTGCGGACATCGGACAGGCCTTGCAAAAAAAAAGGCTTGCGCCAATTGGCGCAAGCTCACCTAGCCAGGGATGGCGATGGTGATAATAATGATGATGTTAATGGCGGTCATGGTATTATGGGTGAGGATGACGAAACTGATAATGATGGCGATACGGGTAATGATGGCGATGCTGATGTTGCTGATGATGTTGATGTCGAACATGATGATGATGATAATGGTGAGGCGAATGATGATGGCGATAATGGCTGTGCAATGAGCGATAATAACCTTAATGCGACTGCTCGTAATAATAACTATGATGATGGTGATTATGGCAGTGGCGGTAATGGTGATGTTGATGTTGTTCCACCTCCTCGCTGTCAGCTTGCTGAAAAAAAGGTAACAAACGACACTGCGTGACTGTACGCGTTGATACATTTGCAGTGGGCACTGGTTGGAACTACATATAAACTAAAAGAATGTTGTCCCGCTTTGTAGTATAGATATTTCGAACATTGTTCAGTGACCGGGCCGTCGCCATCAGACATGAACGAATTGGAATGTACTGTCCCACCAATGGCAAATGTCGGGTCGGGCGAAAGGGGGGGATAGCAAAGGGGGGGTTTGAGAATCAGCTCACGTAGCTGATTTTCCCGGCGCCTCCCGGCGCCGGAAGCGGCTATGTATCGAGGAATGGGCCCCTCGGCGAAGCCGAAACCAACTGCACGCAGCAAATTTCGTAGCCCCCCTTCCCCGGTCCCCCCCCTTTCGTCCGGCCCGAAAATGGCCCCTCAGGCATGGCTCGCTTTCTGGCCTGCTGGATCGAACTGTCACTGCCGAGTATGATTAACGCACACTGCGTATATATCCTCGCCGCCAAAACAGCATCCCCGGCCCCGATTCATTCCGCTCGCCCCGCCATAGCGGCAGCAAGCTCGCGGTCTCCCTGAGCATGTGAGAACATGCCGGGCGTTCCAAACAACTCGCCGTGCACGGGCCAAGCGCAAGTCGCCAGGCCAACCCTGAAACCGCCGCCCCCCGAGACCTCGAACCTCTCGAGGCAGCCAGCCTCCGTCCGGCACAGGCGTGCATCTACAGAGGTCCAGTGGTGTCTGCTCGTGGACTCCGAGCGCTAAGGCGCCCGCCTCGGCGTTGAACTCTTTATGCCGGCGCTGGAATCGCGACGGGGTGGGGGCGCGCGGCCCCGCCCAGACGGCTGCCCAGAAGTGAGAAAGGATGCCCCGCGCGGCCCTGGCCAGTGGGTGGGCTGCGCTGGCGAGATTTCCAGCGCCAAGCCCCCTCGAGCCAACGAGCGACGAGCGCGCTGTCTCCGTTGAGCTGGATGCGAAAAGAGCTGCTTTTACCCCGCTCCTGACGCGTCGAAATGAACGGCCTTCCTCTGCTTGGCCGGCTGCCGACCTGCGACCAGGAGTTCGGCGGGAACGCCCGGCGGCAACCGGCGCAAGCCAACAGGAGTCACGCCACGCAACCGGCGCAAGCCAACGGAGTCCCACTCCGCGAAAACGTCGTAGAAGATGTCGCCCCACTGCGTCGGTCGGGCGCAGTTGCGGCGGCGCCTCCCCTTCCTTCTGGCCGTTGAACTCCGAGGATGTGCCGGGGCGCCTAGCCGTTGCAACTGGCGCCAAGTAGCGGCGCCTCTGACACGCGCGACTCCCCTCATCCACCCATATGCTGCCGCGGGCCTGCGCGGGAACAGCGGGTTCGCCCTCCCGGCGCAAGCGAGGGTGGCCTTCAGGGCCCGAAACGCCAGCGGCTCAAACCCCATCTTCGCATGCATCTTCGCGCGCGTCGGATCCCACGCTTGAGTAAAAAGACCACATCTTCGCCGGGCCTCCGAGGCGGCGTGGAGATGCGCCGCAGGCGCTGGTTTTGACGCTGCGCGAGCACGATTCGAAACTAGTAGCGCTCAATGGTTCTCCGAAGCGGCACCCCCTCATTCCGTAGGCAGCGTTGGTCGCGCCGGAACCCCTGGCCCGCAGCAGACGTGCAAGACCCCGCCGCTGCGTGGCCCGTGCCAACATTCGACGCCCCATTCCCCATAGTGCGGATTTCGCTCGCAACTGGGGCGGCCACCGCCCCCCCTCCTGGGCCGGCGCCCCCCGGCAAATCCAGCAGCGGCCGCGGGGGTGGACGCGCCGGCAAGCACGGCCCCCGCTGAGCCAACTGCGCGAGTCGCGGCCGCCAGCTCTGAGATAATGGACTGCGAGAAGATGCGCGACGTTGAAAGCAAATGAACGTTGCCCGCCCAGACAGGGTGCGCGCGCGCCAGGCGCCGCGGGGTAGCCCTCACCTCTCGCGCGCGCGCATCGGCCTATCAGCCGGCAGGTTAGCGCCCCGAGTGGCCTCGCACCAACGGGCGTGCAGGGAAAAGAGAACCTGGCCGATCAGCGCGTTCCAGGATATAGGCGCGCCGACGCTGCCCTGGGCGCCCGCGTCGCCAGCGGAGCTCGACTCGACGCCGTCCAAACCTTCGAACAGGGGGCGCAAAAGACGACCGCGGTGTTCAGCCACCAACGCCCGGACCATGGGCGCATGCATGCCGCGCCGCGGCAGGGCCCTGGCAACGCCGCGCCCCATCGCATTGCCGAAGGCGCCCTTCGCATCGGCCGGTGCGAGGTGCAATTCCAGTTCTGGGGCCCATTCCTTGAACCTGTCAGCAGGGGGCCCCCAGCCCCCCGAAGGCCCGCCGAAGGCTGCCCCCATGGACAAACCCTTTCGAAACCATAGATGGCGAATGAACTCCACGCAGGTGTCGGCGGCCTGTCGCGATCCAACATCAAACTCTGAATGTACCACTTGAGGAAAAAACTGCTATCAGCGCAAGGTCTCGAAAGAAGTCGAAGTCCTGAAGCTCGGTGTTCTCGTGGAGAAAGATCGTGGTGACGCGACGCAACAACTCGGCTACCTGCCCGCCCAAACTGCCATGACGTCCTTCGCGTCGTTTTCTGAATTGTTCGAAGACGACATGCACGAACGACGCCAGCAACTGTTGAATCATGTCGGGCACGATCGCAAAGTTAGCGCCCGTAGGCTTCCTCTCGTGCAGTTTATCCCCTGGCCCCCAGCACATGTCGGATTTCCAACTTTCGGTCTCGGGATCCTGTCGATGATTCGAGTTCGTCGCTCAACCCATCCGGATCAAAACATGCACTATTGGGGTCGCGGTAGCGCTGATGACGCTGCTGGTGTAGGTGCGATCTCCAAACTGCTGAGTCTTCCTCGGGCCCCCCCCCCCAAGGACAAGGTGCGTGAAGGGGGGCGGGTGGGCGCCCGCTCGCGCGCGGCCTCCCAGGCCCGTCGCAAAAGGCGAGCCCCCCGCCCGGCACGGGCCCTGTCGGGACCAGACGGGGAAGAACGACAGCGACCCCTGCTTCTCGAAGTTGCGCGCGCCTCTGGAGGCACTGAGATCTCCGACTCGATGACGCGGCATGCTCGATAGCTTCGGCTGCTTCGACGATGGCAGGATCAAGGCCCCGGAGCGTCAGGGGGGCGCCGAGGTCGGAAGCAAATCCATTCATCCCAGCACGTGCCACTACGATCCCGCGAACGGCGCCCTCACCCCCAGGCTAGCTGGGCCTCCAACCCTTCGGTGAACGCTGGTCGCGGCGCGCCGCAACCGGCAACTCACTCGGGCCCGCCTGGCGCCCGCCCGACGAGGCCGCCTCAGTGTCGCCGTAGATCGGGCAGCGATCACTCTGCAACGCCTTGCGCTCATTCAAGATGCGACATCGGAGCGAAATAGCCCCGGGAGGTAAGTGCGAAGTCGATCTGCGCGCGCCGACCCCTTGCGCGTGTAAAAACTGCGATGCGATGGGGGAATGCTTGCAGCAGAAAAACCAAACTCGCTCGCGCTCACGTCGCCATAGAAGAGATCGCGACGCTGCCGGTGATAAAGCTTAGAACTCGTCGTCTCCACGCAGAGCTCGCCCACGAAATGCGCGCCCCGCTCCTTCGACGGCTCCAAATTGCATTCCACTCCACAAACATATATACAGACCAGCGTTGACTCAACATAAAAAATGAACAGGAGAAGAACGAGAGAAGGAGAAGACGAAGGGGAGAGGACGGGAGAAGGGGAAGCCGTGGGAATCCAGAGGAATCCTGGCCCAGAATCCAGAGGGCCCCATGCGCATAGGCATTGGCATAAGCATTGCGCATAGGCGTTGGCATAGGAATGGGAATCCATACGACTCATAGGAATCCATTGGAATCCATGGGGCGCGCCACTGGAAACAACGGGAAGGGGGGGGGGGGGGGCGGAAATGGGCGAGGGGGGGGAGGGGGGGCATTGGAAACGGGTGAGGGGGGGGGGGGGGGGGGGGGGGGGGGGGGGGGGGGATCGGGAGGAAATGGGGGGGGGGGGGGGGGGGGGGGGGGGGGGGGGGGGGGGGGAGGGGGAGGGGGGGGCGATAAGCATTGGTTAGCAAGGTCGAACGAGCCAGAGGGGCCCCCCACCCCCGCCCGCCCCCTCGCAACATGGAAGCAAGTGCGTCGCGTCCAACGCCTGTCGCTCATTTTATACAGCGAGCGGATAGACATTCAGCGCGCGCGACGTGAGCGGCGCCCCATTCCTGCCGCGCATCGAGCAACGTCGACGAGAAACAAAACCGCGCGCGATGCGCGCCGCGCCCCGCTCCGACCTCCCATGTTGCACCGTCGGCGACAACGTGCCCGGCGCGCGAAGAGCGCCGCGTCTCATTCCAGCCGCGCGCGCTGCGCCGCCAATCGGCTCGCCCCTGCCGCGCGCGGAGAGGGGGGGGGGGGAGGGGGAGGGGGGGGGAGAGGAGGAGGAGGAGGAGGAGGCGAGGAAAAGAGGGAAGGAGGGAGAAACTGAGGAGGAAGAGGAGGCTGCCTCCTGGGAATTCGAGGGGCGTCCTGGGAGTTTTCCGGCATGCGCCCGAGGGCCTCTTGGATGTATCTTCCGGGTTGGAACATTGTCAACGCAATTATATAACCTCGCAATCTTTGAAACATCAAATGAACATCAATCTGCGCGTTGCCCCCCCAGGGCCTCCTGGGCGCCTTTTTTTCAACCTCTTGGGTGTCTCCTGGGTCGCGTGGGGGTGACTTTTCGCTGGGGTGGCCTTTTGCGCGCTGCTTGTTGGCCCTCGGGGGGGGGGCCCTCTGCGCGGGGGCCCGAGGGGTCCGGGGGTCGATTTTGGCATCGCCTGTGCGCGCCAAAACTCTCTGTCGCCAAAGATCTCTCTTACGGGGGCGCAACAACGCGCGCGCCGGCGGCGAACCGCACTTGCTTCAGGCGTTCTGACACGCCGACCGCCCAGCTCCTCCACCCGACGGGCCGCAGCGTCGACGACAAACAAATCCACGTTGACGAGCAGGCGCCCCCGCGCGACGCGCGACGCGCCCCATTCCAGCTGCGCGATTCGCTGCGCCAGCGAGGAGGAAGTACATGTTGTCAAGAAAAACGTCGGCGTTGCATGTTTTTGTCAGGTAGGAGGACAGGGGCCCCCGCGTAGGGTTGGCCAGGCGCCCGCGCGCGATGTGCGCCGCGTCCCATGCCTGTTGCACTGTTCGCAGCGTCGGCGACAAGAAAGTCCATGTTGACGAGAAAAAGCGTTGCGACCAACCGCTTGTTCATTCCGTCCCATTCCTGCTACACTTGTCGCAACTCGACGACATGTTGGCGAGAAACATTGAGCTTGTATGACTTTTTTTTGGCGGGTTTGCTATCGGCCGGCCAGGGGGTGTGTGGGTATGTTCCACGATCGGAAATATGGAGAAGCGCAGCCATAGAAATTAGATGGGGGGGGGGGGGGCACGGGGGTGCGGGGGCAACGGACAAATAAGTAAGGCCTGAATTCGAACTCCTATAGGGCAAACCTGTTTGGATAACAAATTTGACCCCTGCTTTCTCGCCCACGTAGCGCCCTTCGCAATTCAGACATCGACTCTTCATGCTCGTCTAAGCTTTTGGCGGAATCAACTAGATGCCCAGACAAAGAAGAAGGGCCTCCAGGGAGGCACGCCGTCGCCGTGCGTGCCAGGCAATGGCTGCACTTCACAAGATGCGTGAGGGTAGAGGCAATCGCCACTAAAGCACGTGAGTCCGAATTCTGGTAGGCGACGAAGCCAGGCAGCTCCGCATCAGGTCCCCGAGCTATTTCCTGTAGGAGCAACACACGACATCGACAGCTTAGCGCGCCCAGCAACGCACCGATACAGTCCCTCCCGAGCCTGTTGGCATTCCACGAGAGCCCGGACCATACCCGCCCGCTCGAAAGCGGGGGGCCTCCTCTCAAGCATCCTCGATCACTGTAACTCCTTCGTCGCCTCTTCAACCGTCAAATGGTTGAAAGAGTCGGCGAAAGGCTCAGGATATACTCCCCGACCGGCGGTCTCGCTGAACCTGGCTATGGTGCACGGTGTATCGCCTCGTTTTCAGACGACTCGAACCGGGTGGTCATCGAGTTGATCTTGAAGCTGGTTCTACGCAGGCAGTGCTGTTCGGTCATCGCCAACCACTTCGCTCCAGCCCTTGAATACGCGCTGCGGTTGGGGTCGCCCTGGAGGCTGACGGTGTACGTCGACTGCTGAGGCCCCTTAAGGCCTGCATCGCAAATGACCTTGCGGGCAGCTTCCCTCGCGGCTCACGCATTGTGTTTCTCCTCCTTGCCAGCGGCAGTGAGCTTCAATGTGACCTTGGTAGCCATGGCCTCTGCAGCAAAAACCTCACGAAGCTTGTTGATCAACTCCAAAGCCTCGCGGTCGGTGGTTTGCGACTCATCTGTCGGCTTGCCGTTGAGCCACTTGGCGAAGCCCTTGACCTCCACATGCTCCACGATGTGGCCCGAGCGTGGCGCAGCCCCCGCCCCGCCCCTGCCCACAATCGAAGGCGCGGCCGTGGAAACGCCCGACCTCGTCGCAGCCATACGTATCGCCTCCTCTGCCTTCTGAAGCGCCTGCCGTGCCACCTCCTCCGCGGAAGCGGCGGTCCTCTCCACATTCCCGAGGCGCTCGTCGACGTTCGCCATCCTGCGGTCGGTGTGAGACACGATCTCGAGAATCTGCTTCAGACTGTTCCCCCTCCTCCATAGGTGTATCTTGATCCATATCATCATCACTTTCTTCAACTCTGCGCTTCTGCGCCCCATTGCTTCCGACTCCACCCACGATCGATTACAAAGTGCAGAAGAGATACCACAAAACGCCGGTAACGCTCGACCCAGAACGCTTGAGCCGTAGAAGTCCTTTGGGGGCCCCTGAAAGCCTTTGGAGGAGCGGAGGATGAGCAGCACCAGCACAAAAAGGAGGAGGAACATGAGGCGACCAGTCCTGTCTTGGACGAGCGAGAACATGACAATCCTGCCGTCCTCTTCCAGTCATCAAACCACTCACGCCCTGCTTTGGTTTTGGAACCGTGTATGTCGTCACCTCGTACTCCTACTTATCCTCCCCCTCCTCATCAAAATTCACTATACTTCCTTCTCCCGCATACTCCTTCCCTTGAGCTGCTTCGGAAACTGGTCCACTCCTTGCTGTTGCGCGTCGTACGTGATTTCAAAGTTCGATGGGAAAAGCTTGATGAAATCAATGAGCTTCTTAGCCTGTGTGGGGGGGGAGGCTGCCTAAGCAATATAGCACCAAACCATCAGGCACCCCGATGTATTGACACGCTGCGGGGGAGGAAGGACGGAGAAGAAAAGTGAAGAACGGAGGGGCGGAAGGAAGGAGGGGGAAAAGGTTGGCGTCCAGATGTACTGACATGCTGCAGTGGATGGGATGACACGAGGGAGGGACGGGGAGAGCGACGAAAGGAGGGAGGCGGGAAGACGGAAAGGCAGCGAGGCACGTAGGGAGGGATGGGGACTTCAAACCTGCCGCCTCCTGCTGCTGAATCCGCCAAATGCGACAACACGACCGGCTTGAAAAAAAAGGCAGCACGATGCCAATGGGATCGATGGATAGCTCTTGGCACCGATACATAGGGACATCAATGTAGGGAAGTAGAGATTACTGGACAGAGAGATCACGAACGCGATCCGATGCCACTTGCAAACCGAACCTGCACACATTCCAAACAGCAGCGTCGTTATCATCTGGGGAACAATATGGAGAGTAGAGTAGCAATACTCACATACTCAGCACGTGAAGAATCACAATAGCCCCATACTGTAGATATGGGCAACGTTTGAGTATGAGCGAGCCTGGTCATGAATGAGCGGCTACGGGAGTGAGCTTTGTAATCTGGGTACGAGTGAGTCTGAGTGGATGCGTCTGGATATGAGTGAGCCTGTGCTTGAACAAATACGATGAGTGAGTCTGAGCGCGAGTGGGTCTGAACCTGAATTTGTCTGAGTATGACTGAGCTCTGTGTCTGAATCACAGAAGAAGGCGGGCAAAGTGAGTGAGGCAGAATCGTGCCACTACAATAACAACATGTCTAGGGATATGGGAAACAACAATGGCCCCACACTTAGGACTCAAGGTATACGGTGAACCTACGGACTGGAGAATGGGTGAGCGATTCAATCCTGTGAGGCCTTTGCTTCGACGGTGCTGGTGCACTTGACTAACGGGACGGAAAATGATGTGAAGGGGAGGGTGACCTGGGCTATATTCGCTTTGTACTTCTGAACGCGGTGCTCCTGGCCCAGGTCCTTCCGGACGCGAGTGGCGCGCGCGCGGCACGTGCGGCGAGAGGCATTCGCGGCAGGGCGCGACGGCGGCGGACGCCTTTGGATGGCGCGGGTCCCGCCTCCCATTCACGCGCAGGAGGGGGGGAGATCAAGAAAACGTTGATGATGTTCGTCCAGTCCGCCACTGGAAGCCGGACACGGGCGAACAGAACGCCTCTTCACGGCTTTTAAACGTCGCATGTACGGCAATCTTCCCTCATCGAACCTGATCCAGGCATCAATGCCCGCTCGGGCCACGCTCGAATTGTCCCTCCAATGCGATTCGCCGTTTGGGCGCGTAGCCGTGGAGAGAATCCCTTGGGGACAAACGCTCAGATCGAACCTTCGCCCCTCCCGCCTCACCCACCCCCGTCTCGCTATTTCCTGACTGGCCTCCGCCTCGAGACTGGCCAGCTCGCCTGCGTGCCGTGCTGTGATTGACGGGCAGAACCCGAGCACCTTGACAGGCAGGGCCAGCGAGTTGCGTTTCCGTTGCTGTTGGAACCAGATGAGAGGAATGGTGAAGACCAAGGAGAGGATTGGGGAAAGGATGGGGGAAGGAGGAGGAGGACGAGGGAGGACCGGGCAGGGGGGGGAAGGGAACACTCTAAAACTTTAGAGCGTGCCGACAGCCGGGGAGGGCCAAGGCAAGCCGAAGAGACGAGCACATAACATCACATAACTCGACGAGCAAAACAGCTCACGAGCGAACGAGATCAAACACACCGAAGACGAAGTCAGAAGCAGGTATCATCCTGGCATTGGAGCGGGCGGGGCTCTCGTCAACTCCCACGAGAGGGGGAGGGGGCCTATGCCATTCTCGAGGGCCTCCGGGTAAGGTGTATCAATGCTGGACAGCTCACCCAGGCAGGAGCCCCAAAGCTGAGACCTGCTAGCACCTGGCTGGGCCCTGGGTCCACGTCAACCACAAACTGCAAGGGTGCCCGCCGCGAACGTGATGACCACGAGCATGGGCAGAGCCTTGGGGCGAGGGCCCCCGAGGGCTCAAACCTCCTCCCTCTCAAGATCCTCCCTCACCTACACACCTCAAGGTGCGCCGACACTAGCGGACGGCAAGCTAGGGCGGCGAACCAAGCGAGTGGGCCAGCCACGGTGTTGGCCCGCCTGGCGATCTCTGGAAGGAGGTGAGGCAGACATCCTGCAAATCGAGGTCACGCGCTGCTCGGCCTCGGCGCCAGGGACCGCTCAGAGCTCGAAAATGAAGCGTTATGTGAGACCAACGGCAGCTCGGGCTTCATGGTCTCCATGGGGACAGCTTCGCCCTGTTAGAGGCCTCCTAGACGGGGTCCGAGTAGATGGGGTCGGAGGATCGCGCCGCATCGCCGATGCATCGGCGATACATCGCCGATGTATCGGCGATGCATCGGCGACGTCGGCGGTGCATCGGCGCCGTCCGCGTGGAGTAACTGGGCTCCGCATCGAGCCGCATCGCCGATACATCGGCGATGCGGTGCGATTTTCAGACCGCATCTACTCGGACCCCATCTGGTAACACTGTGGCTTCGGAAAGCCAAGCAACCGAGGAAGGGGTCGGACCCCCCGGGCGCGAGTAGACCTCGCTCGAACCGACAGCGAACTCACAGAGGGTCGAGGCCTAGGCCACTGGACGCGTGCCACGCATGAGAGCCATCAAGCCCCGTTCCGAGTACACTGCCAACGCTTACGCTGGCGCGCTGCCAACGCTTACGCTGGCGACGGATGAGGTAGCGATCGGATTCCAGGAGAAGCAGGCTTCTTGGGCTTCAGGGTTCGGACTCCCAATTGGGGAGGCGAGAGGAGGGAGCGATGATGATACAGACGGGCAAACTTTCAGGTTGGGTGTGTCGATCCACGCTCCATCGCGCCTCGGCGCCGTGCTAACGCGACGCGAAGAAGAATAGCAATGCGAGGGCCGTGAACCGCGCCCCTCCACGTCGAGAACGCATGGGGGACATGAGGCAGACGAGGAAGACAGGGAGAGAGGCGCAAGAGTGGCGATGCGGGAAAAAGAGAGAAAGAGAATTGGGAAATCCAACACCCTTGATTGCCTCACTCCCTCTATCGCCCCTCTCCTTCTCGCTCGCCTCTCCCCTTCTCGTCCTCCGTCCGCATCCAATGGCCAAAACCATTTTCGGGACTCAACTTCGAAGCTCAAGCGCTCTTGTCAAGTGTTCAAAACCAAGGCCCCGGCATGCATTCGCCGAGCCCAAACTGGCCCGCCTTACCCACTTGAGTCCCGTGACACGGTGCGGGCGCGTCATCCTACCTGTTCTTGCGCACATCGTGCTCAGTTGCTATGTCCGCCGTATGGAGCATGCCACATCTACATGTTTGCTGATGCATAAATGTTCACCGTGCAGATGCATAAACATAGTTATATACACGCATTGAGGGGATCATCCTGGTATCATGCGCGATCAAGTGTTTCTCATCCTCAACCTTCTCCATCACCACCCTCATCCTTCCTTTCATCATCTGCCTCATCCTGTTGTTCTCCCTCGTCCTCATCATTGTGCTGTTCCTCCCCCCTCCCGCTCTCCCTCCTCTCCTCCCCCTCCCCCTCCTCCTCCTCCTTTTCCTCTTCCTCCTTCTCATCCGCCTCCGCGCGCGCGCGCGTTCGCACTCTCCTGGGTCGACCGCGCCGCGCGTCTTCAGCGCGTGTCAGCGAGGGCCCGCCTCGCGCGCCTATCTGGTCGATGCGCCGCGGCCCTTTCGATCGTCTGTTCCGCCAGCGCGCGGCGCCCCGTCTCGGCCCCCCCCCCAGAGTGGGCGCGAAACAAAGAAAGGAAAGCGGGCCATTGAACCAATCGACCTCGCGACCTTGCGCGGCGACTGAGTCGGGGCCGCCGAGGTGGCACAGATGCGATGGGGCCATGTGGCGCCCGCGATTGATTTCGCGCGAGGGTCCTTCGCCACCCTCAGCCATCCCCCCCCTTCTCCCCGCCCCCCTCCCCTCCCCCCCCCCCGCCCTTCTCTTCCTCCTCCCCCCCCTCCCGTCTCCTCCTCCCAATTTCCTCCGTCCCCCCCCTCCTCCTTTCCCTTTTGCCATCCTTCTCCCATCCCTTCCTCTCCTCCTCTCCTCCTCCTCCTCCTCTTCCTCGCCCTCCCTCCTCCTCCTTCTTTTCCCCCCCCCCCCCCCCCCCTGCTGCTCCTGATCGCGCTCCTGGCGTGACTCCTCCCCCGCCGCCTCCTCCTCCTGCCCCCCCCCCCCTACTCAGCGAGCAAGGGTGCGGAACTCAGCGAAATGCACGACGGCTGCCCCGCAACGACGGCGAATCACGCTGGTCACGGTGCACCGCGGGGGCGGCGCTGCAGCGGGGCCGGAGCGACCGTGCGACATGTCCGCCGTGCCCCGCTTGAGCTTGTTCGAGGAACTCGTGCGAGTGGGCCCCGGGGAGGCCTTGCGCACCCATTCGCAGCGAACTTTGCCCGGGGGGGCCAAGGCGGCCCGATGCGCGACCTCTTGCCAAACATCCGGGCGGACGCGGCTTGCTCCCCCCATAATGCAGCCCGTGATATCGAAGCTTGCGCGCTTGCGAAGTCGAAAAATGGCCCAAGTGGTCAGCGTCGCCAAAATCCCTCGGCTGTCGCGCGATTGCAGTCGTCGTCGCCGCCGTAGAAAGCCCAGGCCCGGCCCCGCGCGCCTCGTGGCCCGAAACTACACCGACAAGCATGAAAAAACATCGGCGGATGTTGCGTACGCCAGGAGAACCATCTCCTTCGCGATGCTCGAAGGCACTAGTGGCGGCGCCCGCGCGACGGCCCCGCCACATTTCGGCACGCCCCTCACGCGCTTAGTGGCCCCAGAAGTATCCACCGAAGGCGATGCTCACAACGACTGTAACCACAACTGCATATGGTTGGGTCCTTCGCTGGGCAAATTCACGGGATTGACGTTCTCGTCGTTTCGGGCTCAAGGCGCTCTACCAAACCCAAAGACGTGCCAAAATTCACCCACGACGGCCCAAGAGTTCCGCAAGGCGGTCCAAGAGGGGCCCAAAAGGAGGAATGCGAACTGACATTCAGAGCCTTTCCCCCATGATGACCCCTGAGACCACCAGCAGGCACCCAAACGGTTCCTAAGGATAATCAGAAGGCCCCCAAGAGACCCAACAAGGACCCCATAATGCCTCAAAGCACCTGGGCACTGCCTGCAAGAATATTCATACACCCCTCTCAACAGATCCCAATCATCATCCCCAGAGGCCTGTCCTACAACCCAGGCGCCGTGGCGGGATGGGCCGAAGGCCACTAGATAGTATCCATCCGTCAGTTGGGAACGCAAGCTGGGCTTCCGCCAGCGTGAGACAACTTCTGACAGACTCGTAGCGCGACCCGAGCTAGAAGCCATGCCAGCTGCGTTCGGAGTCTCGCTTTTGGCCCCAATGGTTCTACGAGCAACAGCCCACCCTATCGGGCCCCCTTGCCGTTGATGGACTGGCGTATTTGCGCGGCCGCGAATGCGCGGGTCTGTTCGCAAGCATGTTTGTCCGCAGTGTGCGCACGCTTTCCTCATGGCCTCTCTCTCTCTCCAATTATTTTTTTCTTCTCACGGCTTGTCTGTGCTGACTGTGGGTCGGCGGTGGCCTGTCCCAGATCCACGGACATCGAAGCAGGAATGAGGCAGTCGCCAGCACTCTCGGGTGACCAACGATTCAATGTGTTATTCATACCTTTTTTTCTGCTCGGGGACACCGCAGGCACGTTCATGCAACGCCCGCGGTCGAATCCACAACAAAACACCCTCCCTCCCCATAGCGCATTTTGAAACGGAGGCCGCGCGAATGGCCCAAGATGACTTCGACAGGACAGAGATCGGAAATTGGGGGTGAGATCGCAATGGGACGGAGAGCCCCCCCACCGGGAAATCAGTTTCGGTTTCGTGTTCGTGTCGCGCGTGCAGGCGAGGCGAAACTGCGTGAGCGCGCGAAGAATGATGCCGCCGTGGCTAGGGGCTGTGGGGCTAGCTTTCCGCTCCTTCCCCTCCGTCGCGCGGTGGCCAGGGGTGTCCCGTCGGTGGCGCGTTGGTGTCGCCGCCGTGGCTAAGGGCTGTGGTTGGCCGCCGTTCCCGCCCTTGGCGCGCACTGGCTGGGAGTGTCCCGTCGGTGGCGCGTCGGTGTCCCGTCGGCGTTCCGTGTCCCAGAGCAGGGCGGCGTGAGTCAGCGTCCCGGAGCAAAGCGGAGAGATCGATTGTGAGATCCTCTGGGAGTTAGATCGTGGGACCTGTGGTACAGATCGGTAATGATATATGTTGGAATATCGATGGTATAATCACTTGCGAGATCTATAGTGGGATCGGCAGTGATATCGATCATGCGATCGATTGTGAGATCGATTGCGATATCGATTGTCAAACTGATAGTGGGAGCTGTTGTGAAACCGATAGTGAGTCCGAATGTGGGATTGAAAGTGAGTTCCATTGCCGTATCGACGGCGAGATCGATTGGGAGATCGATAGTGCGATCAGTCGTGCAATCGATCGTCGCCAACCTGCGGGCGCAGCACCGGCACAACCACCAGTATAACGTTCATGGTTTCTTTTCCCCCGCCAACCTCTTCATCACCCGAAGGGTTGTCGTATAGGTAATTGCTTACCCTCGCTTGGCGGCGTTGTGGGTACACGTTATACGCGCCTCTGAAGACACCCTGAACCCATCTGGCCCCCCTCCTCCTTCACTCCCCCCTCCGTCCTGCTTCTCCCCCTTTTCCTCCCATATTTTCCTCCTCCTCCTCCTCATCATCATCATCTTCATCAACATCCACATCCACATCCACATCCACACCCACACCCACACCCACACCCACACCCACACCCACACCCACACCCACACCATCATCATCATCATCATCATCATCATCATCATCATCATCATCATCATCATCATCATCATCATCATCATCATCATCATCATCATCATCATCATCATCATCATCATCATCATCATCATTACGACCATCATTAGAGCGCGTTTTTTTATGTTCGGCGATGACGGGCGTCATTGGGGGGGGGGGGCGGGAGGGCGGGGGGGGTATGACGTAACCCCCCCCCCCCCCCCCCCCCCCACGCCGTGTGGCTCCAACACCACAGCCCGCGTGTACACCACAGCGCTTGCGTACACCGCGACAGCCGTGTGCAACGCACCGCCTGTGTACACCACAATGCTTGGGAATACTGCAGCGCTGGTGTACATACACCGCAGCAGCAGCCGTGTGCAACACAGCGCCTGTGTACACCACAGTGCTTGCGTGCACCGCAGCGCCTGTGCACGCCAAAGCGCTTGTCTACACCACACCATCCGCGTGCAACGCAGCGCTGGTGTACACCACAGTGCCTGCGTGCATGATACAGTTAGAAGGAGCATGTACGTGAGGATCTACTGCGGACAGATAAACGCCACGCCAAGAACGTTCTGATTAGCAAATGCGACGTTATTCCCTCCTCCCTCTTCCTCTACATCGTCCTCCTCCTCCTCCTCCTCCTCCTGACCCCCTGTCGTGCGGCTTGGCGCTACAACGCACGTGCGCATCTCAGCGTGCACCGCGGAATGGACGATTGAATCGGTCCACTTGGTTCTCGGACAGCCAGTTTGGCTGGAGCCTCTTGGACGCCAATGGGAATTAGGGTGATGCGGGCGGACTCGGGGGGACTCTTAGACTCCAGCGGCGCTCCTTTGTCCATCAGGAGTCACTGTTTCTTTGTTTTCTCTGGAATCCACAAACGCTCCATTTTGTCGCAAGGATTCCTTCTAAAATTCTATACACAACAGTGGTGCTGTGTTGCACAAGGCTGATGTGGTGCACACGGGCGCCATGGCGCACACAGGCACTGCAATGCACGCAAGCATTGTGGTGTACACTTGTGCTGTGTTGCACACGGCTGATGTGGTGGACGCGAGCGCTGTGGTGTACGAAGGAGCTGTTCTGCCCGCGGGCACGGTGGCACAAACTGACGCTGTGTTGCACGCGGCTGCTGTGGTGTACATAGGCGGTGCGGTGTACACAGGCGCTGTGGTGCACGCGGGCACTGTGATGTACACAAGCGTTGTGGTGCAGATCGACACCTACATGTTAGTGCTACCCGTCCTCCGCCATTCCGAAGCATTCCCAGACGCCGCCGGCGCGAAACGTAACGTCATCGACCCCCTCCCCCCCCCGAGATGATTGCCGTCATCGGCCCGGACTAAAACACAGGCTCAAGCCGCGTCCGCGCGCGCGACAAGGATGAGCAACGAGCGACGAGCCACGAGCGACGACGACGACAGTGTCGACGACGACGACGACGACGACAACGACGACGACGACGACCACGACGACGACGACGATGACGACGGCGGCGGCGACGACGACTGCGGACCACACACCTATGCGGATTCCTACGCGGACACCTACGCGGATCACAATGCGCACGGCGGCACTGCCCGGAGCGCACTGGGGGGGGGAGCGTTACGTCATAGGGGGGGGGCGGGGGTCATGACGCCCGTCATGCCCCAAGCAAAAAAAACGGGCTCTCTTTAACATCAAAATCGTCATCATCATCATCATCATCATCATCATCATCATCATCATCATCATCATCATCATCATCATCATCATCATCATCGTCATCATCATTATTAGCATCATCAGTATTAGCATCATCATCGTCATCCTCCTCATCATCATCATCCTCATCCTCATCGTCATCATCATTATTAGCATCATCCATCATCATCATCATCATCATCATCACCCCTCCTTCGGCCCAACCTGCGCATCGGGGGTCGCCTTGGTTGCGTCGTGTAACTTCGGTGGCGCCAGGTCCCAAGGTCTGGTGGGGCGCAGTTGGCAGAGAGCGCGCTCGCTCGCGGCGGCGCCCTCTGAGGCCGCCCGCCACTCCCTGCCCCTCCACTGCCTCCGCTGACGTCCGAAGGTCTCGGTGCGAACTGACCAAGCCGGTGCACCACCCGCGGCCGGCCGCCGGCAGGGCCAGCCGCGCTCCTGCGGAGAAGCGTGGCCGCCGCGGCGGTGCAGGGCGTGAACGATCTCTATGCGCAGGGCCTCCAGGAGAGCCGCGCGGCAGGGGCGCAAGCGGCGACAGCCACGACGACTGGGACGACTTGGACGACTGGGGCGACGACGACGACGACGACGACGACGACGACGACGACGACGACTGGCAGCGGAGGCGGCGGCGGCGAGGGAGGAGAGGACGACGACGATCACGGACGAGAACTTCAAACAATCAGACATCGGCCCGAGAGGAATGCGGAATGCGCGGTTACTGCATTACCGAAGAGGAGGAGAATGATAACATGAAGAGGAACGGTGATCGAGAAAAGAACTACCCTTCTGGGAGGGGGGCAAGGGGCCGCGCGCCGCGGCCCCACCCGGTCCTCTCTGCCGGGCGCGTGGCGCGCGGCCCGCCCATCACCGAAGCCCCGCACGTCCGGCACGCCGACGGCCTGTCGGCCCTGCGGGCTGGTGGCCACGGCCGCGGGCCCGAGCCTCGGCCTCCTACGGCCTCGCGATCTTCGCTGATCGTTGCGAGATCAAGCCGCAAGCGAATGTACGGCGGTTCGGCTGAGCCTCGCATCGTTGGCCGCTCGCACTGAGCGGGAGCCGCCTCGGGGGCCGCGGGGCGCCGTAGCAATCGACCGCCGACCCCGAAACGCTGCGCAAACGCTGCGCAAACGCTGCGCAGGCATGCCGGGCGCCTTGGCCTGTCGGCCAGCGTCCGAGATAACAGCTCGCAAAAACCATCGGAAAGTTGAGTGCAGCGGCAACGGCTTCCGGAAATCCATCCGACCGATAAACCGATAAACCGATAAAAACTAATCGGTTGAACGGTTTGCAAACCGATCAACCGAAAAACCGATATAATTTGATCGGTTTATCGGTGGATCGGTCGCTCAACCGAAAAACCGATAAACTCTGTATGCGAACATAGAGGCGATTGCTGGCGCGCCCCCCTCTCTTCGTCGGTTTATCGGTTGATCGGTTTATCGGTTGATCGGTTGATTGGTTGGTCTGAGACCGCTGGGGGGGAACCTGTGGAGGCGATCCTTGTGCCGCATATCGGTTTATCGGTTTATCGGGTTATCGGTTGGTTGTCAGTTCCCCGCCACGACGACGACGGCGACGGCGACGGCGACAGTGGCTGGACCGCCATGGGGCAGGGCACCTCCGAAGTCAGAGAGAGGTGCGAGGGCGTCTCAGGCGCAAGTGGCCTGAACACCGCATCTCGGGGAAGATCGGGGGTCCGACTACGTGAAGGCAGGGCACATCCCAGGTCAACGCTGCGAGTTTTTTGTGTAGGCGGAACTGGCCAGGACAATTTGGAGCAGGGAAGAATATCAGAGGTCAGCGTTGCGAGGATGTCTCAGGATGAGGACGAGGAAGGTCATGCTGATGATAATGATGGCGATGGCGGCAGCCGCGCGGGAGGCAAAATCTGGCGGGGCAAATTTCGGCGGGAAGCAAGTGCGAGGATGGCTCAGGCGATGGTGGCCAGATTACTTCAACTCAAAGAATATCGGATCCCAGAACGCTGCGGATGCTTTAAGCGGGATGCGCCGGTGTGGTGAAGATGTCCCAGGCGGGAACGCTAATAATCACTTGTCGTGGCGCGTTGGAGCCCAGACTTCCGAGGATGTCTCACGAGGAACGGGCCTCCTCCTCCTCCTCCTCCTCCTCTGCGTCGTTGTCGTCGTCCTCCTCCTCCTCCGTGTCCTCCTCCACCTACTCCCTTTTTCAGAATCAAGGGCGCTTGTTAGAATTCGATTGGCTTATGGGTGCCAACGCCCAAGGGGGGACCGGGTATCAAGCGCCGGTGGCTGGCGAGCCCCACCATGAGATTAGGGGGGAAGAACCCCAGCATCGTCCATGAGGCTTCGTCGAGGCAGAACCGGCATCCTGGGTGACCGATTCGATTGCCACGCAAATGAATGTTCGATGGCCCGGCAAATCAGACCCACTACGAAGGTGTTCGTTGCCCCCCCAGCCCCGAGAAGGGACAGCGCATCATTGAGGGGACGAATGGGATGAGGACGCTGGGGCCGCTGGGGTGTCTTCCGACTCCTGGCTCCTCCTCCTCCTCCTCCTCCTCCTCCTCCTCCTCCTCCTCCTCCTCCTCTCCTCTGCCGGCCGAGCCGGGCCGAACCGCAGGCGGGCCAGCCAAAACGGGGACGAGGACGAGGATGAGGAGGAGGACGACGTCGACGACGACGGCGACGACGACGACGACGGCGACGGCGACGGCGACGGCGACGGACGACGGACGACGGACGACGACGACGACGACGACGACGACGACGACGACGACGACGACGACGACGACGACGACGACGACGACGACGACGCCGCCGCCGCCGCCGCCGCCGCCGCCGCCGCTCTCGTCGCCGTCTTCGCCGCCGTCGTCATCGTCGCCGTCGTGGCGCACCCCTCGACTTCGAATCCGTCCAAAACGGGTCCTCGGACCTCTCCCAGGGTCAAAAGGCACCAGCTTCTGTCGCCGCGTCCGGCCGCGGCGACGCGGGGGGCCCCCGAAGGCCAGAAAGCCTCGGTGCTCGCGGGGTCGTGGGGCGCACCACGACGACGACGACGACGACGACGACGACGACGGCGGCGGCGGCGGCGGCGGCGGTGGCGACGGCGTCGTCGCCGTCGTCGTCGACGTGCACCCCCCGACCCAAATCAGTTCCGAACGGGTCCCCGGACTCTTCCCAGGATCAAAACGCACCAGCCTCTGTCGCCGCGTCCGGCCGTGGCGACGAGGGGGGCCCCGAAGGCCACAAAGCCTCGGTGCTCGAGGGGTCGGGGGGTGCACCACGACGACGACGACGACGACGACGATGACGACGACGACGACGACGACGGCGGCGGCGGCGGCGGCGGCGGCGGCGACGGCGTCGTCGCCGTCGTCGTCGTGCGCCCACCCGAACCAGAATCCGTCCCAATCGGGCCCCAGGAATCTTCTCAAGGTCAAAAAGCACCAGCCTCTGTCACCGCGTCCGGCCGCGGCGACGAGGGGGGCCCAGGAAGGCCAGAAAGCCTCGGTGCTCGAAGGGTCGGGGGTGTGTACCACGACGACGACGACGACGACGACGACGACGACGACGACGACGACGACGACGACGACGACGACGGCGGCGGCGGCGGCGGTGGCGGCGGCGGCGGCGGCGGCGACGGCGGCGGCGGCGGCTGCGACGGCGTCGTCGCCGTCGTCGTCGTCGTGCACCCCCCGACCCAAGATCCGTCCCGAACAAGGCTCCGGACCCTTCCCAGGGTCAAAAGGCACCAGCTTCTGTCGCCGCGTCCGGCCGCGGCGACGAGGGGGGCCCCCGAAGGCTACAAAGCCTCGGTGCTCGAGGGGTCGGGGGGTGCACCACGACGACGACGACGACGACGACGACGACGACGACGACGACGACGACGGCGGCGGCGGCGGCGGCGGCGGCGGCGACGGCGTCGTTGCCGTCGTCGTCGTCGTTCCCTCCCGACCCAAAAATCGCCCCAAACGGGTTTCGGGACGCTTCCCAGGGCCAAGCAGCACCAGCCCCTGTCACCGCGTCCGGCCGCGGCGACGAGGGGGGCCCACGAAGGCCAGGAAGCCTCGGTGGTCGAAGGGTCGGGGGGCGCGCCACGACGACGGCGGCGAAGACGACGACGACGACGACGACGGCGGCGGCGGCGGCGACGGCGCCCTCGCCTGCGTCGTCGTGCACCCCCCGACCCAGAAACGTCCAAAAGGGGTCCCCGGATTTTTCCCAGAGTCAAAAGACACCCGTCTCTGTCGCCGCGTCCGGCCGCGGCGACGAGGGGGGCTCCCGAAGGCCAGGGGGCCTTGGTGCTCGAGGGGTCGGGGGGTGCACCACGACGACGATGACGATGACGACGACGATGGCGATGGGGATGGTGCTGATGATGACGACTGCGGTTTCTGGCTTCGCTGCTAAAGCGGCGATGATCTGGAGCACGCGCTTGTACTCCTGCTCCTGCTGTGGGCAGGCGTAGCGCTCTACCAACGCGGCCCAACTCACGCTTGGCAAGAGCTGCTTGCGGCCGTCGTTTCGAACCGCCACCGTACCCCGAGGCACGATGTAGTTCTCAGTATTCAGTCCCATGAAGTCCCCATGTAGTCCTCAGTGCTCATGCTCAAGGATTCCCAAAGGGCTCGGGCCCCATATCCTCGAATCTCCCAGGCGAGTCTCCGCTGCGGGTGCAACAAGGGGAAAAACGTGGGACCCGAAGTGACATTGGGAACTCTCGGCGCCAAACAGCTCCCATGAGGTTTCGCGGAGCCCCCAACACGTCCCCAGAGATTGCCCAAAAGGGGCTCGGGCAGCTCCAGGAGGTGCCCCAAGAAGCGCTCAAGTGGCCCCAAGAATGCGCCCTTGTGGATTGTGACCCAAACCCAGGCACTGCGGCGGCATGTGCCGAAGGCTGTAAATACTTGCGGATCGCGCAACTTGAATTCTCCATGAAGAAGAACTTACCCGCCATTGCGCGTCTTGGCATTTTGAGGCGTGCTCGAATGCCTTGTGCTGTCTGGATGAGCTTATGTGATCTTCCAAGAACCCCCCCCTCTCTATCAGCGCCCCGGCGCGTGCACGGCCTCCCTTTCTCCGAGGCTCTGTCCCCATGACGGCCCCGGGGCCCCCCCAGGGAACCTCAATGCCCGATCAGGAAAACAGCATGCACGCTCCGAAGATTTCAGCCATTGCAACTTATTCGGGTTTCCCGCGGCTCAATACGCGCCAAGAGGGCTCCAACATGGCACTGCGACGGTTGAACATGGCAGCGAACATGCTGAACATGCAAAGAAGGCCTTGGGACAGCCCGAGTAAATCCCACCAGCTCTTTAGGGCGTGAGTGGTCTAACGAGCTCGTTCTGCTAAACCCTCTCCTTCCCCTTCGGGGAGGGGGCTTCCCCTCCCCCTACCCCCTACCCTGGACCTGGAGGGAGGGTTTCGCGAGGAATTGGAGCGCCCAAGATGGCCCAATATGGCTGCAAGAGGGCCTCCAAGAGCCCCAGATGGTCTCCAATATCTTGCAAGATA